AATCCAGCCCTTCCCACCACGTTATCCCAATCCAGCATCTCCCTGAGGAGCTGGGGGGGGGTCTCCTCTTCCCACCATGTTATCCCAATCCAGCATCTCCCTGAGCTGGGGAGCTCTCCCCATCCCACCACGTTATCCCAACTCGACGTTTGCCTGATGGAAGTCACATAAACAAGACATCTTGCCAGGCAAGGGCTATTATTCAGGTGGTATGTGCTTTCTCTGCCGTGTTTAATATTCTGCTCACAATCCAGCATGGTTTTTATTTGCCATTTGAACACTCAGCAGGATGGTTTGCGGTTTGAGAAATATCAGGTCAGAAGAGATGCGACCTCTGAGACAAATAAATTCACACAACCTGCAATCTTTTGTGTTAGCAGAGCCCGGCCATTAGTGTCAGCATATTCCAGACACAAAACATGCTAAGAGAAAAAAAACCCACGTGCTTAAGATGACCCTTGCTCACCTCAAAAGCTCTCAGGAAACCATTGTAACAGAGGTGCAGCTCTGTGCTGCCTTCAGAGGTTCGGATCCACGGTATTTTTGGGCAATTAATTACCCAGGGTGCAGGATTTCATCTGCTCCTGGGCACCGAGTCTGGGCTGTGAGGGTCCCTGCTCTGCTCGGGCTTGGAGCAGCTGCCTAGAACAGAGGCTGGACAAGGTTAAATGATTAAAGTGGGCATTTATTAAAGGCCTTCAGTAGATACACCTTGGGCAGTCCCAGAGGCTGCACCCAAGCTGGACGATGGACACAAGTTTTTTAATTATAAGTTTGGTCCATTTACATATCAGGGGTTAATGCTACAATTGCAGGTTTGGGTAATGAAGTAATTTACCCCAGGTTTGCTCTCCCCAGCTCACTTTTGCTTATACTTGTGGGGCCTGAGGCTGTAGGGTGTCCTTGAGCTCCAGGCCCAGAGGGATTGTTCTGTCTGACCAAAGTGTGAGGACACTCAATAGCTGACACTCGATAAGGAGTTTAGAGTTACACACTAAGGCAGTACAGGATTTGAAACATATCAAAGCCAAAATCCTAAGGCATCAGGGTGGCCCTGGGGTGGAGGCCCCTCAGACTCGGCAATGCTCCAGTGCTCTGCCTCCTGCCAGAGCACAGAGCTCACGGACCTGTGTGGGCCTTGGAGGGGAGCGGAGCTTGGAGGAGAAATAGGGAAGGGAATTGATTGCTCTGAGCCATGGCAGAAGCGCTGCACATCAAAGGCAGGACTGACCCACACCGCACACAGCCCTCCTGTCGCACCCTCTGCGGGCCCTGACACCCAGCTCTGGCAAACACAGCCCTGCCCACCGCCAGGAATCACCAGTTACCTGCTGCCTTCAGCTCTGCTGCTCTGGAGCAGCATCCAGCTTCCTCTGCACACTCAGGGGGTGTTGGTTTTCTTGCACTGATGCTCCAGCCTCCCACCCCATGAGGAGTTGGAGGATGCTCGTGCAATGGCATCTGGCAGAGTTAAACACCAACATGAAGATGCAGCCCTTGACTGCACTGGCTGTTATTGAGGCAACTGAGAATTGCTTAGAAATAACAATAATTCTGCAGCAGACACGAACAGATGACTCCTACTCTGATCCCACAGTCCTTGACAACACGATGTTCCTTAAACCAGAGACTTTCTGTGTTCATGTAGCCTGCCTTGTTTGCAGGGGTATTCTCTGTGAGTTACCTGACTTTAAACAAACAAATCACACGTTTGAAAAGTGGGAGCCTCTTCCTGAGCTGGGCCATAAATAATGAGTGAGGAAGGGAGCATGGAAAGGACAGGCAGAGCGACAGGAACCCTGTGCTCACTTCCTGCAACCTCATTTCCTTTTCCCCAGGCTCTGCTTCTCCCAACAGCCCAGACTGGTACCCAGAATAAATCAGCGCAGGATCATGAGATTGTGTTTTTGCCATCCTCTGCTGCCTCCCCTTCCCTCCACGCCTCCCTTCCCAGAGCAATGGGCAGGAACTCACGGTAAATGCAAAGTGCATTCAAACCTCGGCACAGGCACAACAACAGACCCGTGGGGGTCCCCAACCTCACCCACTGACACATCCAGCTCAAGATAACAGATTTTGTCTCGTGTCGCAGCACCAAACAGTGACTTTAACCAGATGCCAGCTGCAGATCACACAGCGGCTTTGCTTTCTCCCAGGAACATGCGGACACGCGGGCTGATGGAGCCTCCGCCACCTTCCTCCACGGCTCAAGAGCTCCAGCCTGCACTTTACATCTGCAGCCCTGTTTGGGATCCATCAGCATCAGGACGGTGTGTTACAGAGCCCTCTCACCCGTTCCCCCGCCTGCCTCCCACGCTGCCTGCCCGCTGTCAGCACTGCAGGCTGCCCCGGTCACTCGGGTTATTAATGCTGCCTGGGACACCAGAGTTTCACACGTTATTTGGACCTCAGATGAAAGGATTTGACTGAGTCTCAAAGACCCACCCCTCACCCCCGGTGTTTAATGAATGGAATTCAAACGGAATTGGGTTTTTAAGAAGCTGGCTGGCACTGAAGCAAGGACAAAGCCCAGCAGAGTGGGCGTGGATGTGCCAGGTCCCCTCTCCATGCGCTTCCAGCAGGTTGTGCTTTTTAACAGCAGCAGAGCAACAAACACAGAACTTAGTCATTTGAGTAAAGCAAGCAAACACACGCCTCCCTACGGTCCACTGCTGAGACAGAACAAAATACCTGAGCACGTATTTGATATGCACAATATAAAGCAATGAAAGGCAGCTGAGGGGCACTCAAACCCTTCCCGTGCCCACTTTGCAGCACTGCAGAGCCCTGGGGACTCTGGCAGAGCTCAGTGCATAGGCTATGCCCAGAAAATATTGAAGGCCAGGCAGGCTCTGAGCAACCCCATCCAGTGGGAGAGGTCTCTGCTTGTTGCTGGGGGGTTGAGCTGAATGAGCTTTAAAGGTCCCTTCCCACCCAAACCATCATTCCACGGACATGTGTCTTAGCTTGGGGCAGAGTGGTCACCAGCAGTGACCACCCAGCAGGGCTCACAGCTGTCCAGAGAGGACCAGTCCCCCTGGAAGATCTGCCATGGCCCAGCCCCGTACACCCTACAGGTGCTGGACGCCTCCGCGTGCCGGCACTGCGTACCTTGTGCGAGTAGTGCTGATCCACGATCCTGGCCAGGCCAAAGTCACCGATCTTCAGCACCAGGTCCTCCGTGCTGATGAAGATGTTGGCCGGCTTGAGGTCACGGTGCAGGACGTTGGCCGAGTGGATGTACTTGAGCCCGCGCAGCAGCTGGTACATGAAGAGCTTGGCGTGCTCCTCGGCCAGCTTGCCCTGCTCCAGCAGCCGCGCCAGGTCCGTCTCCATGTACTCCTGCACAATGTACACCATGTTGAACTTGAAGAAGTCGCCGCGCAGGCTGGCGCCCTTGGGGCCCAGCACCTCGTAGACCTTGACGATGTTCTCGTGGTCGAGGCGGCGGATGATCTTGATCTCGCGGAAGGCGTGCTTCATGCTGCGCGCGTCGCCCAGCGTCAGCTTCTTCACGGCCACCTTGCGGCAGCTGCGGCTGTCCAGGGCCGACAGCACCAGCCCGTTGGCCCCGAAGCCCAGCGGGCGGAAGTTGACGAAGCGGCAGCCCAGGTCGTAGCCGTACATGCTGGCCATGCAGTCGCACTTCTCGGCCATGGCGCGCTCCGGCCCGTCCCACTCCTCCGCCCTCGTCACTCCAAGAGCCGGCAGAGGCCCAGGGCCGCCAGGTCAAAAACGCAGTTGGAAATCAAGCCCCTCATTATTACTTACAGATGTCTGGGGAGGGGTCTCGCTCTGAGCCCGTCACTTCAAGAGGACGCGGGGTGAAAACGAACCTGAGGACACACACACACACACACACAGAGTAATAAAATGCTCTAAACTGGGTGAGAAACCAACAGACTTTCCAAGCAGCGTAGAGAAACACAGCCCAGAGACCGCTGTCAAAGCAGAAGGGTTCTTTTTTTAATAGAGATTAAAAAATTAAATTAAATTTAAAAAACTGCTATGTTTTTCAGCCCATGCCTCGTTTCCCTTCTGCGGTGTCCTGGAGACAACGCCGGAGCGCAGGGCTGGTGGCACAGCCCCGCATCCCTGATGTCTCAGCACCACCACAGCCAGCTGGCCCTGCTGTGGGGCAGAGCCCAGAGCAGCCCCGGGCCCTGCCTTGCCCCAGACCCTCCCTGCCCATGAGCCTTGGCAGTGTTTCCCCCGCCAGTGAGGTGCACCCAGGCCCCGGCCGGGCTCCCCGGAGGTCAGCAGAGCTTCACCCTTCTCGCCGCTCCCCTTCCGGCACGGGCAGACCCCATCCTCCTCACCGGCACACACGGAGCCCAACGGCAGCCGCTGCTCTGCAGGACTAAACCCAGGCTTTTTCCAGCTCAGAGAGTTTCCAGGTTTGCAGGTCCAGCTCCTTCCTGCTGTGTGCCTTTCCCGGGTGGAGCCGAGGGCGGTTTGATGGCTACAGCATCCCGAGGAGCTCCCCGCACTGCACAGCCCCGTCACCCCGCAGCAGGTCCAACCTCACTCCTGGAAGAGAAAAGAGGGACCCATCTGTTGCCAGCGCTGTCTGTGCCCTGCCCACGGAGCTGAAGGTTCACCGTGAGCAAAACCGTGACCTTTCAGAGGATCATCAGTTATCCCTCCCAACGCACGCAGCATTTCTCAGCTCCTTAATTCTCCCTTTCCCATTTGTAAGGCTCAGAGAAATGCAACTCTTCCTCTCCCCTTCGCTGCCCCTGTTTTCCTTTTTTAAAATTTGCTCAAAAGTGTTACAGAGCAATTTGCAGTGGCTGAAGAGCGTGTGGCGTCTGCCACTGCCCACAAAACACACAGAAATGAGGGGGCAAACCCTCCCTGCTGGGCAGCCAAGAGGGCCACGGAGCTTCTCGGCTTGCAACAACCAAAACTTCTCAGGCAAATGAAGGCAAAAAGCCTTGGGAGCTGTCTGTGAGGACGTGACACCCCCTGAAGTCAGGTGGCACAGCAAACCTCGGCAGCAGCCCGGGGATGGCATCGCCGCTCCTGTGAAATCGCAGCTGAGCAGGTAAATGTGCGTGTATTTGTACATGAAGGACGTAAGGTTTGTCTTCTCACCCACTAAGGGGCTGTAAGTGGAGGGTGTGGACACAGGGTGAGCCGTCTCTGGAGCACAATCCGGTACCTCAGAGCCGCTCTGCCCTTTGGCTGTGCCAGCGCTCCCCCGAGCCGCCGAGGGCTCTCTCATCAAGGCGCCGTGGCTTTTGAAGGAATCTGCACCACGGCAGAGCCTCGCCTCCCCGGGCAAACACCCACGTCTGCCGGGGACGAGGACATGCCTACAGCCAGAGGATCACAGTATTTGGGGGATCTTCCTGGCAAAACGTCACTGTCTGGTGGCAGGTGACCATGCAGAGGTGGCCAAGGGCAAGGGACCACTTCTCCCAGCTGCTTCAGCTGGGAAAGGACAGCTCAAGACCCTCAAAGCACTTCAAGTTTTCCACCGAGGCTCCCACCCGCACTTCACTTGGGAACAGAACAGAACAAAAGGTCTGAAGCACAAGGAAACAGCTGGGCTTTTCCTTCCAGATGAGCAGCTCAAGGTTCCCGACGCACCACGTGTCCCTGCAGCTGTCTGTGAGGCTCCGAGGAGCAAGGACACCGCTCCTGGCTCCAGCCTGCTCCCAAACACCCCCGGCCAGCCTCACCTCGCTGCACCCCGTCCTCGCCCCTGGGCCACCCCCTGAGGGTCCTTCCCAGCCAGGGGGACCTGCAAGGACCACCCAGCTGCACAGGGACCTCCCATACCACCAGCTGGTCCCAGCGCTGCTCAGAGGAGCAAAATAAAGCAAATTAAAATAAAATAAAATATTGAAATAATAAAAAAAAATATATAAAATATAAAATATAAAATAAAGTAAAATGATAAAACAAAATTAAATATTAAATAAAGTAAAATAAAGTAAAATAACAGAATAAAATAAAGTAAAATATAAAATAAAGTAAAATAAAGTATAATATAGTAAAATAAAATAAAATAATGAAACAAAATAAAATAAAATATAAAATAAAGTAAAATAAAGTAAAATAAAGTAAAATAACAGAATAAAATAAAATAAAGTAAAATAAAATAAAGTAAAATAAGGTATAATATAGTAAAATAAAGTAAAATAATAAAACAAAATAAAATAAAATATAAAATAAAATATAAAATAAAATAAAGTAAAATAAAGTAAAATAAAATATAAAATAAAATAAAGTAAAATAAAGTAAAATAAAGTAAAATAAAATATAAAATAAAATAAAGTAAAATAAAGCAAAATAACAAAATAAAATAAAATAAAAATCATATAAAATAAAATAACTCTGGATCTGCTCCTGTTGTGTTCTTCATGCCAGAACGATGGCTCTGTTAGAGCCCTTAATCACTAGAGCTGCTCCATTAACCCAGCAGCGGGTTCACAGCCTGCTCCTGCTCCCCAAGCAGCACGGCAGGGACCCTCCTGCTCCCTGGCAGAAGTTACCAGGAATAACAAAATACCAGGGAAAACATTAAATGCTGAGCAATCACCCATTGCTGAAGGGGGATGAGAAACGCACGGCTCCAGGGCAGCAGGGAGCAGCGATTTGGAGAGGGAGCCAGCTAACAGTTAAAATGAAGACATACGGAGCATCTGATGGCAGGGAGGATGTAGGCAGGGCAGGGATGCCCTCTGAAGAGCATCTGCCAGCAGTTACCGAGCCGCTTGGCAAGCACTGCCTGCTCCTCTAGTCGGGAAGCAAAAATAATTACAGCCTCTTTTCAACCCAGCAATTATCTAATGCTGGCTTTTGCAGGCAAGGGCTGAACAGAGAGAGCTGCTCGTGCTGTCAGGGAGCGGGGCAGGCACCAGAGAACTGCCTCGGCCCTCCGGTGAACCAGGGGGACAAAACCAGATGGGGAACAAGGCGAGAAAGGCAACAGGGAGGTGGATAAACCCCGAGGGTCTGCGAGGAAGGAGCAGCTTGTGCAGGGGGGTTCCCCAGCATGGTGACCCAGCTGTCAGGCCGTGCAAAGGGAGCACATGCTGCTCAAACCACCCACAGCTACCGGGGGCTCCGAGGACCACTGCTCAAGGGCAGCCGGGCACCCGATGAGCAGCCAGGGGGCTGCAGCAGCAGCGGGGCTTTCCCACTGAGCTTCCTCACTGGAGATCTCAGTCTCTGCACACATCTCTCAGAGACAGCCTGAAGAGGAAAATGAAAAATAAAATCAACCAAAACGTCCTGCTGGCACAAAGGGAACTGTGTGAAACCGGGCTGGGACCGCTGTGCTTTAACGTGGTGCCACGTCGGCTCTGTCACCCATCTCTGCCGCTCAGCTCGGCCGCAGCACACAGAGCCAGCACGCTGCCCAGCTCCCGGGCGCTCCGGTGCCACGGGGCTGGATGGTCCACAGGGTCCCAACCAAACCCTCCTGTGACTCGGGGAGCAAAACCCCGCGGGGCTGCTGAGCCCAGGTAGCGTTGGGAGACGGCCAGAGCCCACGCCAGGCTTCTTGGCTCACTCTAGACGCAATGGAAAGAAACCAAGTTCTGCCTCATCAGCCTCATTATTAATAATTAGTAGAGCTCTAGAAGCACTGAAAGGGAACACGCAACATATGAGGGGGGAAGAAAGGGAAGAAAGAGCCCTACTTTTCCTGACAAGCAAAGCGATGGCCTTTGTGATGCTCCTGGCTAGGACTCGCTCCCAGCTGGTGAGGGCCCTGCTGCAGCTTCTGCAATTAGAGGGGCAGAATCACCCCAAAGGATGGCCCTGGCGCCCAGCAAGTCACGCCCCTGTCCTGACCCTCGTGGCTGTGTCTCCCTCGCTGAACATCCAGGGAAAAGCTCCTAAACAGGGAGATGTTCCATGGCCAGGAGCAGCAGACAGGATCCCACAGGGGTGGGAGAGAGGCAGGTCAAGGGGGGATTGTGCCCCTGTGCCCCTGTGCTCAGGTGAGACCCCACCTGCAGAGCTGCCCCAGCCCTGGGCAACAACAGCACAAGGACGTCCAGCCGCTGGAGCCAGCCCAGAGGAGGCCACGCAGCTGCTGCCAGGGCTGGAGCCCCTCTGCTCTGGAGCCAGCCTGGGAGAGCTGGGGCTGCTCCCCTGCACAAGAGAAGGCTCCAGGGAGAGCTGAGAGCCCCTGGCAGGGCCTAAAGGGGCTCCAGGAGAGCTGCCCAGGGACTGGGGACAAGGCCTGCAGGGACAGCACACAGGCAATGGCTTCCCAGTGCCAGAGGGCAGGCCCAGCTGGGATATTGGGAAGGAATTGCTGGCTGGGAGGGTGGGCAGGCCCTGGCACAGGGTGCCCAGAGCAGCTGGGGCTGCCCCTGGATCCCTGCAGTGTCCAAGGCCAGGCTGGACAGGGCTTGGAGCAGCCTGGCACACTGGAAGGTGTCCCCGTCCATGGCAGGGGTGGAATGAGATGACCCTGAAGTCCCTTCCCACCCAAACCACCCCGTGATTCAGTGACAGCTGTCTGCATCTGCTGCCTGCTTCCTCCACCTGAGACAGCAGCAAGCCCCACAGACCAGGCTGACCAGCCTCTCAGGAAAGACCATAGAGGTCATTTTTCCTGCCTTCCCCATTCTCCAAGCCACACCTGGCTCCTGAGAGCCCGGCAGAAGCCCCAGGGAGATGCCCTCAGCAGGCCCAGTTTCCCCCCAGGCCGTGGCTCTCAATGGCTGTGCTGATGAAGAAGGGTTATTTCAGCAGCCCACCCACAACTGCTGCCCGTCCCAGCAGCCCGGAAAACAGCACA